TTATTTCCACAATGCACTACTGAAATTCAAGAAGCCAGCCAGCTTTCTTTTACGTATTTAAAAAAGATACCAAAAACTTCTCACGAATAACGTAATTGATTTTTAATAGAGACTTAAAAAATTTAAGATCACGGACACACCAAATCTTAAAAGATGGCCCCTACCACCATAGGTGAAGAGAGTGGAAAATTAAGCAATGACGGGGTGCAGTGAGTACTAAGGTAAGGACAGGGAGAGGCATCTATGAGAACTTGTAGCAGCGGGTGTATTGTGGGGATAGAGGGTTTCCTCAGGAACAGCTGAGGCTTTAAGACTGAGGAGGTGGCTCCAAGAGAGGCGCAGGCTTAGAGGGTTTTACTTTCTAGGTGTCTTATGAGAGCGTTATCGAACCACACATATTAAAACGTAGCTCAGCTGGGTGTGGTAGCTCATGCCGGTAATTCTAACACTTTGGGCAGCTGAGGTGGGCAGATTATTTGAGCCCGGGAATTTGAGAACACAGCAAAACCCTACCTCTATTTTTTAAAAACTTAAGAAAGGAAAGAAAGAAAATAAGACGTAGCCCTATCCCAAATCTCTGAAAGACTATTTACAATTTTGCCTTTTAAACGGCTTGGTGATCAGCAACTAATTTAACGTGCTTAGCTCTGATTCCTTGGCAACCACTGCATGCACTTCTTGTGACATGCTCATTTTGGCAGAACATATACTAAAACTATAAATTCTTGTGAAAAAAGAAATTCTCATCTATATTATTCTCAATATTTTAACAACTATGCTGAAAAAAATGAAGATAGTGTTTCATTTTGTAGATATTTTTCTTGCTCTTTTCTTTGCATAATTTATAGCCAGCATTATTTTTCCTGGTTTCTTGCAAGCATTTCATAGGTCTTTCAAAGCTTATAGATCTTAGGCACGATGCCTTTCATTGTCTAATGGGTAAATAGCAGGGTGGTCAAAACAGAGCTTAGGGCCAAGAGGGGAGCATGTGGGAGGGCCCAGGAACCAAGTGCTTGCACACAGCACCTACAACAGCCTAAGGTTGGGTTGCCACAACTGAAGCCAGGTACCATTTCAAACACTAACATACTTCCTTGAAGATTACAAAGAACCTCAGGATGGTTCAACATCCCCAGATGTAGCAGGAAGCAGCAGCTGGCCTTACCTTTGGGGCATCATTTTTTCCCAAGATGGAGACCAGTTGCCCAGATGGCTCCCAGGGAGTCCGGCAGCAGCCCCAGCACTCTATCGCAGCGATGGTAACAGGGTATTCGAGGACAGACATGGCAGCACATATCTTTTAGCCAGGCTTGTTCATTATCTGTTGTCTTTAAGTTGGCCTCTGATTTCTCTATCCTTTGAAATATGTAATGTACCAAATTGTGGCAGAAATAAATTAACAAATTAAGCAATCTGAGGATTTTTGGACACAGGCTCTTCAAAGGGCTGGGAATGAGGAGGAAACAGAATAAAGAATGTCCTGAGCCCTCAGAGGCACTTGAATATCTGAAATATCTAGGATGTTTTAAAACAGGTGCTGACCCCAGGCCTGTGCTCAGCCCAGGCCTGTGACAACCGGACAGCTTTCACTTGCTGGAGTAAAGTAGTGATGTGGGTCAGGCTTCATTAGATGCCAAACACTGATAAAGTGTTCCACTCAAATGGCCTCTTAGATGTGGCCAAGAAAAGTACAAAAAGGCCCAGCTTGCCTATTGACAATCCCATTAACTTTCAGTCATTTCTAAAGAACAGGCCAGCACCATCTGAACATGGAAATCCAAGTGCAAGCTACTTCTTGTCCACTCTGGAGCCGGGTAAGGGACAATGGAGATCCTGGGTGGGCACAGGCCCTGCAGTGCTGCATTCCCACTCATTGCAGATTAAAATTGCCACCTGTACACCCCAGGTCTACAGCACTACCAACTGGGAAGGTCAACGGAACCCCACATTCTAATCCTCATACCCTGGAACAAAGGCCCAGTAAATCCACTTATCACTCTGATTCCCCCTCCCCCAGCTGACCTCCACCCTCACCTCAGGCACTGCCGAAACTTTGGAAATTCTGTTTCCCTGGTGCTCCAGTTTCCCCATTTACCTTTGACTTCATCAACTGCTTCCAGCCTCTTGTACGCCATCCTGCCTACTTCTTTTGCCTCCCTCTAGCACCTTCAACTCTTCTACTCAGTGGCCTTAAAACTAAGTGCCAGCATTGGTCTCACCTAGCAGCCTCCCAACACAAAGATCTAACAGGAAATGGCCACCTCATGGTCTTCTGCTGTTTGGTGTGAGGACAGGCACCACGGTACAACTTGAAGTTTTGTTTTTGTAATTTGGGTCTGTGATTAGCTATCCTTTACCATTTTTTGGAAATGATTTTTTAAAATAAAGAAAACCCAGAAGGGAGAGCATCAGGATAAATAGCTAATGCACCCTGGGCTTAATACCTAGGTGATGGGTTGATAGGTGCAGCAAACCACCATGGTACATGTTTACCTATGTAACAAACCTGCATGTCCTGCACAGGTATCCCGGAACTTAAAATTAAATTGGAAAAAAAACACACAAAAACTCCAGCCTGGACAACAAAGTGAGACACCATCTCTAAAAAAATATTTTTAATTAGCTGGGTACAGTGGCTCATGCCTACAGTCCCAGCTACTTGGGAGGCTGAGGCAGGAGGATCACTTGAGCACAGGAGTTTGAGGTTACAGTGAGCTAGGACTGCACCACTGCACTCTAGCCTGGGTGAGATCCCGACTCAAAAAAGAAATTATTTTAAAAAAGAACAAAACCCCTGAGGCTTAGCTGCCCAGTAAGGCCAATGTGGAATTCAGCAGGTCCTCCTGTTGCTCTTTCCCAATCAATATGTCATGTTGCAATACGCTGGCTTCCTCCCACCCCTTACCAACTGTTTTGACCACTATAGTAAAATCATCATGATGGAGGCTGGCTGGAGTTTGCATGAAATGTAGTTACAGGGTGTTGAAAGACAGAAGCAGGGCCTTGTAGATGACAAGGCAAAGAATGATTCTGCCATGACCCCCAACAAGTTCACCGGTTTATCTACCTAAAAAACTCACAGTCCCATTGAACAACTGCTGCCGTTAACTCAGAATGGTCTATCTCTATCAGCAGAAAGGAACAAACAGACCAAGATAGAAAACCAAGCCCCAAAATGCTGGAATCTCTCTCTTCAAGCTACCCCAGCAAGTAAGTGGACCGACCAGGAGCTAAACTAGAAAAAAGGCAGAGACTAAAAGATTTGTCAGTGACTAAAGATTTGATCTAAGATGTCCCAGCAAACAGCAAACGATGACTTCTGCCTGAAGGAATGGTACATTGCTTTTCTTGGGAATTTGAGAAGGGGCTGGGAGTGAGCTGTTTAAATAAATATTAAATTGGTCCTCTTTTTGGCAATACCATCACCTCTCCTGCCAGATGTTCCAACTCCAGAAGCAGCTTTGCCAGATGCAGGGCTGGAACCACACCAGATGTTTCCAGGTTTGAAGCGGACAGTAGCACACATCCCCTCTACTGCTTATAGTAATTTGCCTGGCCTCTATGTGCCACCCTACATTGACCAACAGCACCATTTCCAGAGCTTGTACAAGGAACAGCAGGTATGTGGTATTCCAAAAGCAATGTGGCCCCTTAGTTCAGGATTTGAGCTCTATATGGGCAGATGTGAGTTCAAACGTCAGCAGCACTAGGTAGGACTGCAGTATGTGTGGCAGGCAAAATTCTGGGATGGTAATCCACTATTCCCAGCCCCTGGTTTTTTAAACACAAATCTAGTATTGCTGTTGTCAGTTGACCTTAAGATAGGGAGATAATCCAGGTAGGACTATTGTGCTATGAGTCATTTTTAAGCAATGTTTTCTCTAGCTGGTATCACAAAAGGAAGGTGAATTCAAAGTACCAGGATTCCATGCACCCTTGCCAGCTTGAAGGTAGGGGAGACCAAGTGAACAGAAATACGGGTAGTGGCTGTCTATATGCTAAGAGGTGCCCACAGCTCACAGCCAGCAAGAAAAATCGGAAGAAAACAGGTGACTTCAGTCCTACAACCCTGAATTCTGCCAACAACCTGAATGGAAGCACATTCTTTCCCAGAGCCTTCAGATGAGAGCTGAGCCCAGCCCAGTTGACAGACACCCTGATATCAGCCTTATGAGACTCTAAGCAGAGAATCCACCTGCCTGGATATCTGACCTTTAGAACTGTGAAATGATAAAGAGGTATTGTTTTAAGCTACTAAGTTTGTGAGCACTTGTTATATACCAAGAGCACATAACCAATACAGTATGTAAAGCTCTCAGTACAATGTCATAGTCCAGAATGTCCTGGCCTTCCTCAAGGTTAACTCTCTACCTCCACACATCCTCCCACACCCCTAGACATCAAAGCACAGTCTTTCTCTAGCCCCTTTTCACTTAAAAAGAAAAAGGTACTGTGAGGGAGTGATGAGGCAAAGTTCGCCCCCGGGGGAGGACACCATTTGGAATTCTAGTAGAAAGAAGTACATATTTCCCCTTCTACAAACTTCAAGCCCATGCACATATCAAATGTGGACTCTATTAGTTGGCAGGGGAAATCTGCCATGGATCCTGGGTATTGCTGCATATTCTTGTTGCGCAGGCTTTTACCTGAGTTCTTTCTCAAAACTGTGTTTGCAGGAGGCAGTCTTAAGGGATGAAGTAATGTCTGCATGTGAAACAACAGACTTGCCATGAAAGAGGTGGAGTCCCCAAACATACAAGTTCTTTGGCTATGGTGCAAACTTGTAACATGCATAGCATCTACCTGGGCCCCTCCGTGTCCACTGTGAGACCTGGGGAGCAGGGGAAACCAATGTAGACATGAAGCTCATGCTATGCTGAGTAACAAAGTTCTTTATCTCTGACCCAGGATCCTCATGTCTTTTGGGAGCATCAACAAAAAAGTAATAATCTAACTTATTAGCTTGCAAGGGTAAAATCCCTGACTCTATTACACTTAGATCCTTAAATGAGGAGATTTAATGTCTTTACATTATACATTTCAAAGGAACGAAACACCCTTTAAGAATTTTCTCATGGAGATAGCATTTACATCACAGAGCTACTGTGAAAATAAAACAGGAATGTATAGCACACCTGGAATATAAAACACATCCCAATAACTTTACTTGGACCCCTGCAGTCACCCATCCCTCATATATACATCCAATTAACCAGATGAAGATCAGTGTCTGTGTCCATGACAGCAATCCATTCAGAAGACAAAAGATAAATAGTCTAATATACCAATTTCTGACATTTGCATAGCACTGCAGGACTCATGAAGAGCTACCACTCATATTATCTCATTTAATCCCTACAATAAAAACCGAGGCTCAAGGAGATAAGTCCTTGCAGAAAGAACAGTAACAGACTCCACAGGTTTGGAAAACAGCCACATGACAGAGGGCCAAGGAAGCCTATGATAGTAGGCTGAGGAAGCACAGCTGAACTGCAGCTATGAGACTGTTCTAGCAGCATGACTGTGGCCTGAAGGCACATTCTTCCTCCAGGTAAGGCAAGGGAGCTCTCACGGTGACTGGGCCTCCTGGGGAATGGCAACGCCACTGGAGAAACAGCTGGAAACACATGCTACAGAGATGTCTTTTATTTGTATATTGATATTTCTTCACAGAAAATTAAGCACGTGGCTATCCTGTCCTGCATTAATCCATTTGGACTTGGTCCCATCGGTGTCCATGGCAGTGTCTGCTTTGTCTGGAGGCACTGGGGCCTTATCTTGTGATGGTTATCACTTGAGGGTCTTGCTAAGGTTGGAGAAACCAATGCCAACGCAGGTCATCAGCACTTTATCCCCGCCCTTGAGTTCTTCACCACATGGCTTGGTTTCAATTTTAAACATAATCTGGAAAAAGCTCTTCAAATGCCGCAAAAATTCTATCCTAAAAAGGAAATAAATAAATAAATAAATAAAAAGCAATTCATTAAAAAAAAATTATCCTCTACCATCTAGAATCCAAGGTTTTAATTTGCCAGACCTAGAGAGCTGAAGTTAAGAACTTCTCATCAAATCTGATTAAATAGTACTTCTTTTCAGCCAGCCAGTTTCCAAAGAAGATTGAGACAGTCTGCAGAGACACACACAATACAGCAAGATAAATTAAACCGGGGAGGGGGGAAAGGTTAGAAGTTAGCACATGACACATAAGTCATTTAGTTCAGACCTAACAGAAAATGGACATAAATATGGTGATGACTTTTTCTTTTTTTTTTTTAAAGAGACGAGGTCTCATTATGTTGCCCAAGCTGGCCTCAAACTCCTGGACTCAAGCAATCCTCCACCTCAGCCTCCTGAGTACCTGGGACTACAGGTGTGCCACCATACCTGGCTTAGGCAATGATTTTTGAGTGGCCTACACAAAGACAGAAACACCTATTTCCATGATTCACAGCACCATGACATACAAAACAAGCACAATGACTACTGATGCTGAAATAGACAAGTCTCTATTATTCTCTAATAATACCTTTGCATTTACTTAATATTTATCAAGTGCGTACTGTATGCTAGGCACTGTTGTTGGTGCTTGGAATATTGCACTCGAATGAAAAAAATTAAAAATAAAAATCCTTCCCTCATGAGGATTTCAATCTAGTGGTGTAGATAGAGACAAGATAAATGAATTAATTATTCCTTAAAAGTGCTATGTAATGTAAACAAAGCAAACAACAGAGATGGGGAAGAACTGTGGGTATGACAGTATTTGTACAAATTTGGCAGAAGGCAATATTAAATAAGGTGGCCGGGGAAGTGTGCACAGTAAACATGACAAGGACAATGGCATCATCACAGGGTGATGGCATCACTCCAAGAGTACCTTGGGAAGAGCAATTCTGTGGATGAACCGCAGTGCAGGTACACAGGCTTCTAATGGTCTTGCCTGGCAGACCTAGCATCACCTCAGCTAGCCTGATCATAAGACACACCTGAACAGTTCATTAAATACACAGGTTCCTGAAGGTTCTCGTGAATTTGCAACTGGTACGAAGTGTCCATATCCATATGGAAGAACCCAGAATCATAGGCCACACACAAAGCTGATCCCTTCCTACCCTCCACCAGACCCTGTGCTCCCCAGTTCATAGAGGCCAGAAATCTATTGTTAACAAGAATCCCTGGCAATTCTCATTGGGCAAGGTTAGGGAACACTGGCTTAGTGAAGAATGATGGTTTGCACACCTATAGTGAAGTATTACAAATACCTCGCACTGTACTGTCTCCCAGTCAAACCAGCCAAACTCCCCACTCTGGCCAGATGGTTCTCAATCTCAACTGCACATGGAATCATCTATGGATTTTAAAAACACTGATGCTAAACACATAGATCAATGGAAAAGAGAGTCAAGAAATAAACCACACAGTTATGGTTAATTTCCTCAATGAGGAAAGCATAATCATTTCAACAAAGATGCTGGAACAACTGGATATCCACAGGTGAAAGAATGAAGTTGGGCCCCTTCCTCACATCACACAGAAAACTTAACCCAGAAGAGATCAAAGTCGTAGCTGTAAGAGCTAAAACTATAAAGTTCGCAAAAAAAAAAAAATACAGGAGTATTCATTACCTTGGGCTAGGCAATAGTTTCTTAACCATTTCTTAAATACAACACCAAAAGGATGGCAATAAGAGACAAAATAAATTAACTGGACTTCATCAAAATTAAAATACTTTGTGCATCAAACGCACCATCAAGAAAATAAAAAGAACCTACAGGATTGGAGAAAAGATCTGCAAGTCATATTTCTGATAAAAGTCAGGCATCTCGACTATATAAACAACTCTTACAACTCAATAATAAAAAGACAAATAACCTAATTAAACGATGGAAGAGTACAGGCGTGGTACTTCATACCTGTAATCCCAACACTTTGGGAGGCCAAGGCACGCAAATCGCTTGGGGCCTGGAATTCAAGACCAGTCTATTACGACCCCCATCTCTACAATAAATTGTTTTAAAATTAGCCAGGCATGATGGCAGGAGCCTGTAGTCCTAGCTACTCGAGCTGTGACTGCACCACTGCACTCCTGCCTGGGCAACAGAGTGAGACTCACTAAAAAAAAAAAAGAAAAAAAAAAAAAAAGATGAGAGAGCTAAATGGACATTTCCTCACAAAGATCCAATAAGTACATGAAAAGATGCTCAACATCATTGGTTATTAGGGAAATGAAAATCAAAACCACTATGAAATATCACTTCATATCCAATAGGATGGCCATAATAAAAAAGACATACAATAACAAAAGTGTGGGTGAGAAGGCAGAACCACCAGCAGCCTCATACACTGCTGGTAGGAATGTAAAATGGTACAGCCACTGTGGAAAACAATCTGGCAGTTCCTCAAAATGTTAACCAGGGAGTTACCATAGGATACGGTAATTCTACTCTTAGGAATATATAGAAGAGAAATGAAAACACACCCACACAAAAACTTGCATACAAATGTTCATAATGGCATTACTCACAAGAGTCAAAACGCAGAAGCAACCCAAATGTCTATCAACTGATGAATGCATAAAGTGTGGTATATCCATTCAATGGGAGATTTTTTTTTTCTGTCATAAAAAAGGAATCAAGTACTGATACATGCTACGTCGATGAACCCTGAAAACATTATGCTAAGTGAAAGAATCCAGTCACAAAGGACCATATAGTGTATGATTCTATCTACTGAATATGAAAAAGCCACAACAGGCAAATCTATCAGAGGCAGAAAGGAGATTTGTGGTTGCCCGGGGCTGGGGAGAGGGGGAAGAATGGGAGAGACTGCAAGTTGGCACAGGGTTTCTTTCTGGAGGTAGTAAAAATGTTCTAAAATTAGATTGTGGCTGTGGTTACACAAGTCTTTAAACTGTGTACTTAAAATGGGTAAATTGTGTCATATGTGAATTGTATCTCAATAAAGCTTTTTAAAGTAAAGAAATCAATACATATTTGCCATGTTATAAAACAACTGATCCTGGTTCTCACCCCTACTCGGTGTATACCAAACTACATATAAAGCCTGAATTGATGAATTTCCCTCCCATTCCCACCCCTCTGTGCTAAGAGCACTGATCTAGTCAAAGGAAGGAAACAGCTATATGGAGAAAAGGGGGCCTGAACAATTCCTGACCCTGTGACTGAAGTGACCAGTGCATCAGGGGCTGAGATGAAACATTAACAACCCCAGAGAGCAGGAGTTCTGGTCAGTGCTGGATGCTCACAGAAAAAAATCTCCCAATTCCTTGCTTTCCTTCCATCTAGGAATGTGCAAGTTTATCTCGACCTTTAAAATAACATCACATTTGTCAACTTTTCTATGAAGCCTTTCCTAGCCCATAAAGCCCACCCCAAACGATCTTTCCCACCCCTCCAGGTTTCCATAGCATTCTCTGCTCATGGTGTCTAATTAAATGCTTATGTATAACTGTCCCCTTCCCCCTCATTAAATTATTTAAGCACCTCAAGGGCAACGCTCTTCTCCATCACTGAACCTGTTATTCAAACAAGGCACTGTATGAGGTTCTCAGTAAAGAGGCACTGGATAGAATTTAGGAGTTGGGGTAATTTTGGGAAACAACTTTCAACATTCTTGGCAATTAAGGGAAGTCAGCGTTCCCTGCTGGCTTTCTTGTCTTACTAACCAATTAAACTTTTGTTGTCATTGTTGCTTTCTATCCATCCCACCATCTCCCCCATCCTGTCCTATGGAAAAAAGAAAACACATCGAACCATAGATAAACAGTCCACATCTGCGGGCAAAGCTTCCAGCTGGCGGCAACCCAGAAAAGGTCAGCCATCTCACCCACTCATCTGCATCTGAAGGAGAAAACAAATTGGTCTCTCCTTTGCTGCTGCCTCAAACTAATACAGGCCTGGGGCATGCTCTGCTCCCAGGATCTCACCCAGCCTACTTCACTCTGAATCACTCAACTGTGCTTGAAAAACCAGACACCCTCCCCAGCTGGCAGAATTTCTACGGGGCCTCAGCTTGCTTCTGATCCCTTGGAGAAGGATGGGAGGAACACAGGCTCAAGTGTGCAGGTTTGTGTATTTGCAAGTTTGGGGTATTTGTAGCCTTTGGAACAGTTAGAAAAAGCAAAGTTAGTTCCACTTTTTACATAATGTTCTGCCAAACCCTCAGCCTGTCCAAGGAAGACTGTGTAAGAGACTGGATTAAGGTACATTTCAGAATCTTTCCCCTACCTCTAGCCCCATTCTCCCTATGTCTCTGGTAGCTGGGATATTGAAGAGCAAAAATGCTCAGAACCTGAAAATTCACCACAGACAATATTAAATCCCAGCAAACAGCCTCCTTAAGAAAATGAAAAGCAAATGAAGTGTAAGCTCGCCCTGTATCTACATGCACTAACAAAGTCTCATCCAGTGCTGATCCACATCCTTCTCCACAGCCCAACAGCTAGCTCTCCACAGCTGCAGCTGCACTGAGGCACCGCCTTTGGAGTTCACATTTCCCTGCCCCTCTCTTCCACAGCACTATACTGGAGATTCACACTTCCTAGATAGAACCACAGAGCCACACAGCCAGGGCAGAGAGAGACCCACCGCTCACCGAGAGCAGCTCTGCCCCTCAATGAGCAACCACCCACACAGCGCAAATAGTAGCTTTTCAGAAGAACCATTCTGGGCAGCAGGGGCTCTATGCAACTCCTGTGTAAAGGATTTTAACACCTGACATGTGATTATCTGCAGTGAGGCTTTTTCACCCCCGCCAGGACAAAACGATTTTCAGAAAACAAAAAGCAACTGACTTTTCTACGAAAGCCTCTAGTCTATCTGACAATTAGGTTTCAGAGAATTCTGGAGCACAGAGATAACTTTTCCTATGTATTTTATTTTATTTTTATTTTTTATTTTGTTTTGAGACGGAGTCTTGCTCTGTCGCCCAGGCTGGGTTGCAATGGTGCGATCTCAGCTCACTGCAACCTCCGCCTCCCAGGTTCAAGTGATTCTCCTGCCTCAGCCTCCCAAGTAGCTGGGATTACAGGCATGCGCCACCACGGCCAGCTAATTTTATATTTTTAGTAGAGACGGGGTTTCACCATGTTGACCAGGCTGGTCTTGAACTCCTAACCTCATGATCTGCCCGCCTTGGCTTCCCAAAGTGCTGGGATTACAGGTGTGAGCCACCGCGCCCGGCCTTCCTATGTATTTTCAAAAGGTGAGTTGTTCCCACTGCCACTGCTGGTCAACAGGAAAGGCCATGAGGCTCATGGTCATAGGTCCATTGAATCCCAAGTGACCAGGATTTAACAGGCTGCCAGATCCCACCCTTAAACACAGCCCCTCCCACCAGACCCCTATTTTGACGCATGTGAGAGAATGGGGTGAGGGCAATCATGGGGTAAGCCCTCTCTCTGGCAGCTCCCACAGGCACAAACCACAACAGAGGGTCCTGCGTCCTGCTCCATCAAGCCACCTGGTTTCTATGCCACTGGATATGGGACAGAGCTGGGGGTATCTACATCTCAGGTGTAAAGAGATGCTCTGCAAGTTGAGGGGAAAAATCTGGAGATAAGAAAAGGATCTGCTGGATGGAGTCCCTATAGTCATTACATGGCAGCTTTTAAATATACTGCTGATGCTTGTTCTGCAAAATAGTGGCTTTTCCAAAGACCAGCTGACCTCTCCTCCAAAAATGAAGTTACTACATTGTTACTGGGGCAGCAGGAAACAGAGAATCAGGCTAGCTGCACTGTCAGGAGACGGGGTCCCAGGCCCAGTTCAGACAGGATCTCACCATGAGCAGGTCACTGACCTCTTTTTTATCTGAGAAGGAAGCCTATCACTTGCTTTTACCATACACCAAATATGTTCTGGGGCTTAAACATCAGGTGATGGGGCTTTACAGTATTTAAATGCTTCACAAACCTAAGACACAGTGGTACTGTGCAAGCTCACGGAATGCAGTGAGGCCACTGACCCCAAGGAGTGGCAGGTTTGGCTGGCAGTTCCCAGTTTCCCCATTGGTTTCCTCATGGGTTCTTCAGAGGGCTGTGCTTTAGACTGAGTGGGCCAGGAAGCCCCAGTCAGTTTGTGTTTAACAAGGACAGTGTCTTCTAGCTCCTTAGCACTTCCACAGTCATGGAAAAAGGTCATTAATTAAAGTCAGAAAAAAAAAAAAAGTCATGGTTTATTTTAGATTTCCAACTAAAGATAGAAAGAGATCATTTTACAGCAGAATTTGAAACAAGGACTTTGCTGAAAAGATGTAGCATGGCATCCTGCCTCAGGCAAGGTGCTTTGAGTCCAGTGATATGGATGGAATCCCAGCTCTTACATAAAAGCACAGTGGGTAAGGGAAGCAGTGACTGGAGGAGACTGTCCAGGTCTGAACCCCACTTACTGTCTGTGTGATGTAACTTGGCATGTAACTTGACCTCTCTGTGTCTCTCTGTGTCTCAATCCCACCACCTGTAAGATGGTGCACATGATAGTACTTGCCTTTTTTGCCCTTATAAAGTTATGATGAAAACCAAATAAGCTAATATGTGTGAGCACTTAAAACAACATCTTGCACACAGTAAACATGGTGTTTTTTAAATAAACATCTACCTTAGAGAATTCTTAGGATCAATAAGATGTGTGTAGTTTGCTCAGTAATGTGACTAGGGAAAGTCAGTCATAAAAATAATAACTAGAAATTAAAAATTTTTAATCCATAATTTAAAATTAATGGATATAGATTTATAGGTAGCTGGGCAGACCACTTACAGATGACCTAAACCCTAAAATCACCCAAAGCAAGTTTACCAGGCCTCCTGGGGTTCAAAGTGACCTGACCGGGCTACTGTGGCCACACTGCCTATGGGGTAGTCCTGCTCCTCAAGGAGCAGTTTAAAAAATTAAAAAAAAAGTGACCTGACCAAGGGACTGGACTGCAGCAGGGTGAGGGGGTGTCCAGGCAGAAACCACAGCACCCAGCGCTGACAGCTCCTCAGGCACATTGCCAGGAGCATAAGCATCTGACTTCATCTAAGCTTCATTCCATTTCCACAAGTCCAGGACTTCAGGACCATGCACCTTATCTACAAATGACACCAAGGCTCCAAGATGCTAAACACCATTTCCATGGTCTCCTGGTGGCAAGTGGCAGAGCCTTAAGTCCAAATAGGCTGGACTCCAAGGCCTGTGCACTGGCAGAATGCAGAAGCTCTGTAACTGCAGTCTCATTCCACAAACAATTTCTGAAAGTGCTAATTAAGATGCATCTTAATTTTTGCTATTTTTCTTGCTGTTAATCCAAAAGTATAAATCCTCCCTCCCTAAACTGTAAAATTAAGCTTGTTGAATGGAGGGTGCAACTACTGTCACTAACTGTAAGCCACCTAAAACTCAAATTTAACAGAAATAGAATCTTCATATACCAGTGATTATCCAATAATATTTTATTCTACTGAAAAAAAAGTCTCTTGGGCCTTTCTAAAAGAGTTTCACATTGGCTGGACGCAGTGGCTCACGCCTGTAATCCCAGCACTTTGAGAGGCCGAGGCGGGTGTGTTACGAGGTCAGGAGATCGAGACCATCCTGGCTAACACGGTGAAACTCCATCTCTACTAAAAATACAAAAAATTAGCCGGGCGTGATGGCGGGCACCTGTAGTCCCAGCTACTCAGGAGGCTGAGGCAGGAGAATGGTGTGAACCCAGGAGCCAGAGCTTGCAGTGAGCGGAGACGCCACTGCACTCCAGCCTGGGCAACAGAGCAAAGCTCTGCCTCAAAAAAAAAAAAAGTTTCACACATACAGACTTACTTTCTCAAGTAGCACAGAAAACCACCAACAGCAATCCCAATGCTCTTTAAATAGACATTTAAAAATCTATTTTATACAAATGAAAACAGGTCCAAACTGCTTGAAGAAATGCTTTTTTTTTTTTTTTTTAAACCAAGGAAGGTCTTGCTTCTGGTTTTCTTTAGAAATCTGAGGTTTCACAAAACAGGTTTCTATGACTTTAACTGCACATAAAAATAAATGTGTTAGTTTGGTCTCCAAAGCTCTTGAATCCATCTAGAATAAACTGTTCCCCCACTATGATGGTCCTCACCATGGATTTCATCCCTTTTTTATCCTCAACTATACTCACAAATACAATGTTAACTTTGCCTGCTGTGTCCTGCCTTTGCTCTTCATCTCTTTGTGCTGCTGGAGCTGTCCACAGTGATTAGGGGCAGAAAGAGTACTAAACAGATCCAGCTTTCTTGAAAATAGACTCCCTTACCCGTCCTTATGCTAGTTTATCAAAAAGAAAGGAGGCTTCCCTTTCCCACCCCGGCAGACCCCTCTGCACAAAGCTCTGGGAGGCAGCAGAATGTCCAGCCTCAAGATACATCATCTTACAATTTGTGCTACTCCTTTAAAGCTCCATTCAGAGCAGGACACTTTGTCTTCCCAGGAAAGAAAGTCATTTTAGGCAAGTTTTCTGAAGAAAAGACACTACAATTAATGTTTGGTGAGAACATGTGTTGAAGAGGACACAGGAACTTTAAAAAATGTCCAGTCACATCTTGAGCATCTCTGCAAAGCTTGAAAAGATTATACAGGTCCTGGGGTCAAATTGAAAAATCTCCAAAAGCAAAAGAAAAAAGTGTCAAGAAAAAAAAAAAAAAAAAAAAAAAAAAAAATATATATATATATATATATATATATATATATATATTCCATTTTCACAGAATGTTCTGCCAAACCCCATGCTCCAGGACCACACACACTCAAGACAACACCCCACACCCCATACCGTGTGTGCAAGCAGGACTTCTCCAGGCCTGAAGCAAGGGCTGGGAAACGGCAGCTATGAGCCCAGCTACAAAGCTGGCAGGGCCATGGTGGTCACACAGTTGGCAGCCGCCTCCAGTGAGCTCTCTATAGGAAGCGAGTCTCTGTACCTAGGGTGTCGTTCTCCCAGCCCTCATCTCCTCTCCAAGTACTTAACTACCAAGTCTATTTTAGCAATGTTTACTACTGATGTTACCATGCCATTTAGGATTACTCAATCTTAGGTATCCTGTCCTGCAAAATACTTTTACACAAGCTATCAGGAGATAATGTGGTCCTCACGAGTTTCCTGTTTACCAGTCTTCCCTCTCTGCTAACACAATGTATTCTCTTCCATTTTTCTGTTCCAAAAAACCCTCCTACCACCAATTCAAAAAAAAAAAAAAAGCCTCCAAAAGAATTTATTTCAAGCTCCTGGTTTTCATGCCCCCAAAGCCACAGCCCAAGGCTGCATAGCTCCACCACAGTCCCCAACCCTTTCTCAATGTGATGGCACCACCATTCTTCAGTTATCACAGTACTGTACCTTTCAGATATACAGCATCGGTACCATGATAACCGAAAAAGGACAGTTCAGTCTCATATCTACCTGAATATTCCCCGCCACCCAGCTCACCGCCCTCAGATGGCCCATATGATGATCTCTAAGTATGCAAGCACGTGAAAACACACACACACACAAAATGTCAGTACTCAAATAGGCTGTTTTTCGCAACCTCATTTACTATCAACAGGAAATGCTTCTTTCACGGTGTCATTTATAATTCAAGTCTTCTGACACCCTATTCTTTTTGAAGAGTGCTTGCTTTCATACCACAGCAGTCAACTTCTGCTAACATTCAATGGTCCAAATTCACTTCTACAATTCCCTACTAGTCCAGTAGCATTAATACAAACTCTGTCTTTTGTCATCTTTTCCAGTGAGCTCATACCCCATCATCTTAGACAAAAAGCCTGTTTTCCCACAGTAAGTTAGACAGCTAAGGAAAAGAATGATTTAAAAAAAAAACTAGTAATAAAATCCAAGCTACACCAAACCAGGAGTTTCCTCTAACCTGGAAACAAAACCTAAAGCACGAACAAAGTAACTGTCCAACAGAGATCATGCAACTTTAGTTACATGGGACTGAGGAAGGAAAGAAGGCAAAAATCCTTGTATGTAAAAATAAACACCAGGTTAAGAGTGACAACTGCTGGCTGATTTGAGGATAAATACAAGCAGGTGTTCATAGTGCAGGCTCTGTGCAGCACAACACCTTTGTCATTTTGGGCAATGAGAAAATTAAACTGGACAGAATAACGAGGTTGAAAAAGAATAACTTACGTGTAGGGAGACAGAGGGCCTAGCAGGACTTTGGAAACATCCTGCTGTCCAAGGGTCATGAGTAGTAGTGCCAGGCTTTGGTTGGTTGAATCTACACATCCACCCTGTAAACACAAATTAATAATTGTACAAACCAGAAAATGGAAAGCCAACAAAAGAGAGGAGAAAAAAAAATACAGAAACATACACTCATAATATCAAAATCCAAAGTTCAAGCAATAATAAAACAGAATACAGGTCTTATAAGAGTAATCCTTACATCAACTGACTGTAGAGGGTTAAACTAACAATTAGAGCAACTGTAATAGTTGAGACTATCAGAATGAGACTATCAGATTCAAATCTTCTTAAGTGAATCTAGTAAAAAAAAAAAGGAAGAAACTTTCCCTTTGTAATTAAAGCAGCAGCAGGAGGACATCATCTTTATTGAGTATATGCAAAAAAAAAAAAGTTTAATCAGTTCTACAAGATGTAGAGTTAATTCCAAGGGTTAAGTGGATGACGCTCATATTTATTTAATCTGTCACAGAACAACACAGTCTATCTGACATGAAATGGCCTTTTCATGGCCTTCCTTTTACACTTATTCAAATACATTCAGGAAACTGCTTGCCATGCTCTATTAACTTCTCTCCTTTATCTCCTCCTGAGTTCCTTAAAACTGAAGAATCATTAAGGTCAGATCCCTTCATTCTTATTACTTACGTATAAAATTATGCCTTCCACCCCTTTTTCCTTCCCTTTCTCCCAAATTAACAGGCAGAACAGACTTCTCTTCAAACACTTTCTCCTGAGTTACAACTGCTTAGGTTGCCTTTCTAATTTTGTTTTTTTCTCAGTCATTTTAGCTGTTTTGCTTCCAGTAGATGCATACGTAAGTATACAAACGTGTTCTGATCATTCTTTCAGGAATAACTTTATTTAAAACATATTGTACATAGTGAAAGAAGGATGACCTTGAATTTCTACATATTTTGCACAGGTCACAATTAGAAATCCAGTCTCTGACCAAGGCACGTTACTATCCAAGGCTAGACTGAACAGGATAGGTGGCCAGCAGTGCTGTTCATGTGGGTACAACTGCCCCGCCTCCTTTTTAAGGCATGTAGGGTAGGAAATAAATCCATTTTCAGGTGCATCTCTGGCTGTCAGAAATCATTTAGTAGCCCTAATAATGGTGAAGGAAATAAGGACTGATCTTAACTGCTAGCCTTTATGAAAATCTATTGCACGTCCCTAAACTACCTAATAAAGAACAGGGAACAACATTTATATCACATAGCAAATTCCAGGACAAGGACAGTTCATTTTCCTTTTCTACCCAAAAAGAAAAACCTGACCCATGGAAAATACGACAACCAACGAAACTGTTTTACAGATCTTGCTCCCTTTCGTAAGACAGCCTAAAATTAAAGTGTTCTCTTCAGTCTCTGCTTCCTATCACTGTTGTTATTTCACCATTCACTGGACCAATATTTTAATGCAAGAGATATGCTAAGGTCCCTGTACAGGACATCATGGAGGAAGTGGTAGGAGCTATCACCCTACCTATGCCAGGGTGGGTAGGGAGGTATCACCTGCCAGATACGAGAGGGGGGGCTTTAGGAGTCAGGACTACTTGAGACAGCCCTGGAGGGATGAGCAGGGTTTGGGGAGGAAGGAAGAACAGAATGATGGGGAAAAACAAAATGCCAGGGCCAGCAAGGAACGGCCAGACGACCAGCCTGGAAGGCACCACTTCTGCCTGCGGAGAAGCACATACAGCATAGAAAAGGTGGGTAGCCCAACTAAGGCAGTGCTTTCTGAAATGGGTCGAGAATTCTGACTTTGTTCCAGGAAAGTGAGAAGCCAGTGAAGGTCTCTGTGCACACGAGCGAAGAGATCAGATCAGGATTTTAGGGGAAGATTTAGACTGAAAAGGATGTTAGGATTTGGAAAGAACTTCTCCGCTGGAAGTGCAGAGAGCCAGTAGCCATAATCCAGTTGTGGGGTGGAGCAGGGAGGCAGGCAGTGATTAGAGCAGAGGAACAAAAAGGCAGTTCCAGAAAGCCTGGGACAGAATCAAGAAGGCTTGGTAACCGATGAGGCATAAATGGAATAGGAGGGATTAGATCAGAGGCTTAAAACTTGATAAACAGCGCCTTCAAAAGGTATGGATTTTTTACCACTCATTCAATCCATGTCACATCACAACTCTACAGAAAATTAATCAGAAAAACACGAAGTATTTCCATCCTTTTAATAATTAAAGATCACAGACACACAAAGGAAGTTTTCTGAATAACTAAAAGAAAATGAAACTTGGTCCAGGCACAATGGAAGACTGAAAGTAGATCTCAACTAAAGAAAAAAAAAATTGCCAGGCACAGTGGCTCACGTCTGTAATCCCAGTACTTTGGGAGGCCGAGGCGGGTGGAACACCTGAGGTCAGGAGTTTAAGACCAGCCTGACCAACATGGAGAAACCCTGTCTCTACTAAATATACAAAATTAGCCAGGCATGCTGGCGTATGCCTCCAGCTACGTGGGAGGCTAAGGCAGGAGGATCACTTGAACCTGGGAGGCAGAGGCTGCAGTGAGCCAAGATTGCGTCACTGCACTAGCCTGGGAAACAGAGTGAGACTCTGTCTCAAAAAAAAAAAAAAAAAAAAAAGCAAAGAAGAAGAAAAAGAAAAATATTAAAGAACCTAATTTAAACTGTATGTTTTTCCTCTTGTCGACTAGTAGGCTGTGCTTTCACCCTGAGGCTTATAACCTATTTATAAGGATATAAACCTCACACTCTAGCTATGCCCATGGCTCCCACTGGACTATTGTATAAGGTGATGCTTCTAATTCTCCTAAGGTCTATTAGAAAGAGATGGAAGTGTCCCCACAGTTAGAGAGAGGGCCACTACAGGACCAGCCACCGCCAGACACTACAGGACCAGGAAAAGAAATCCTGTACAACAAGGGACCCACGGAGACACATCACACGCACTGTTTCCCGCCCCCCGCTACAAATAAGTAGATCACAAACTTAAGTAACTGGCAGGGCAACCTCTTGATCATCTACCCCAAACTTTTAGTTACTATCCATCTTTCACAAAATTATTAAGTTTTAGTATAAAAAAATTAAACTGATTTAGCACGAAAAAATCTGAGGCCAGATCGTGACTGCGTAAGACTGGTCAAATAATACCTCCTCCTTCAGGAAGATTTCATCTCCTTCTTCCACTATTTCCCAGGCGAATGCCGAGTAGAGAGGCTGGAGCTACTCTCCTGAAAATAAAACCATAGGCCCACTGTCTTCCATTTTTAATTAGATGGTCATTAAATAGAGCCATTTAGGACCTGGACATTTTAATTAATTCTGAAACAGCTCATTCTCACATGTTCCATCTTGGACCAACGAGACGTTTTCAAGAACACTGACTTGGATCAAGGGAGTAGACTATAAATATAAGCTGTTTTCCACCGTGAGGCCGGTCTGAGGATCAATACCTACGGATATTCAGGCTTTACTCTACCACCCTGATTAATAAACTGAACCAGTGGCAAAAGGAAGAATTAAAAGAAAAACTAAATTGCCACTTTACCTGTTTTACTGATTTTATTTCACTTGGCTCAGATGTGATTTTTGCTACCTTAAACGGGAAAACTCACTTGGAGACCAGAGAGATGCCTGACAACTGAGAAGAAATACAAAGACAGAAGTCTCTTCAGCTCCTTAGGGGAAGAAGATGATTTACAAACATTATACACCATACAACAGCAAATCACCTAGAGTATAGTTCCTGCCGATGCTCAGTTCAAGAATCTGGGACCTAACACACAGAGCAGAGAAATGACCACCCCTCAGAGCCTTTCTGACAGTCCAGGATCTGTTTTCCTGGACTCTGCGTGTCAGAGAAAAGGTTTCACCTTCTTGATATGGGACCAAGGCAAAAGACAGTACAGACTAACAGAAATCTTGGACCCAGATTTGTGATCCTCTTCTAACCAAGTATAAGGGACCTTGGGGAATATATTTTTTAGACAACTGTATCTTACTCTTTCTGCCATCATCTTTCCTCCTAATTTCTCTCTTACTTTGTCACCTCACCTATTTTGAGGAAACAGTAGAAGTGTGCGCATATGTGCCCGCTGCGTGAAAGGATCAACAGAGAAAGACTGTGGCAACTGAGAGGGCAGATTGGTCTGAGCTGTGTCCCACCAGCAGAGTTGCAGAAGCAAAATGACAACCGGTTGAGTCTGTCTTCAACATCAGTTCACCCCTTTTCTGTTCCATGTTCTCAGGTTTTCCAAAGCTTCTGCCATGCTGTTCCGCAGGCCTGCCTTCCCTAGTTATTCTGTGCTTTTTTTAAAAAATTTTTTTCTTCTTTTTTTTTTGATACTCATCTGTTAACTGAGATTCTGTGCTCTACAATGCACTGCAAAATCTAGCCTGTTGCCATTGTTTTATATATGAATCAGCTGTCACATACAAATCCAGATTTCTAGCTTCTCTTGAAAGATCTAAAAAGAATGAGTCTACCTTCCTACATGGCAGCAATTGGGGGGTGCCGGGATGGTACTCTCTTTGGTTAGGGCAGTGTGTCAGCCACCACCTTACCTTACCTGCTTCATTTTTTTAACCTTTCCTTTCCTTTATGACTGTTCCAGTTCTTTCCTTGGCTCACTGTTAAAACTTACCTGCCCTATGTCTCAACCCAGTGGGGCTAGATCTCTATTCACTGACTAGTTCAACTAATCAATTAAACTAGTTAATGCTGAACTGCTTAATGCATAGGAACAGGTTACCTCCTTGGCTTGAGCCCTTGGAAGAGGATGAAATCTGCCAAGGGATGAGAATGAGAAAACAAACTGCTTCCTGGTCACTCCTCTATCAGAGGAAGCTGTGGACATACCCTATAGATTTCCTCCAGCAGCAGCCAGGCACAGTTCCTGCCAAGGTCCTCTGGAAGTACTGCTGCTCCCTGGCCCTGGGGGTTGGAGGCCAGTTCGGCACTGAGGAAGGTGCCACTGGTGGTCTCAGCAACCAGTGACAACCCAAAGCCTGGAGACCTGCGGATACAAAGGCACAAACACTGAGTAGGGTTAACCAAGTGAGGTTTCCACTCACCGGCAAACAGAAAGAGAAGACAAACATTTTTTTTGGACGGCACTGTGTTCAAAGGCTTCTTTCTGGCTGCATTAACCTCATAGAGTTGCTACTAGTTTACTAGTTGACCAGAAAAGAAAATCAGTCCAAAAATAAGCATCTCCCCACAAAATTTTAAGATTTGACAGCTCAATTCTACTTTCCCAATGCCTGTTAAGCAGACACATCATCAGGAAAGGTGTGGCGGCCTTCCCAGCAGTACAATCCATATGCAAACACAACACAGACCTGCCCCCTTTAACACAACTCAACACACATTCACACAGTACTTTCTATGTGTCCGGCAGGAGACTAGTCAAAATACTTGTTTCAGTAAAACTATGTATAAAATTAATGATGCTTCAAATGCACTATATGAGCTCACCACATATGGAAGAACTATATTAGTCAGTCCTTATATTCTTAAGGAAAAAAAAAATTGCTTGTCTATGCAGGTGAAGGTTAACAACACCTGCCAAGGGAAGGGGGTGCAGTGAGTTACCCTTTCGTCAAACTTTCTGGGAGGCACTCTGAGTTATGTTTAACAATCTAACACTGTGCTATCCACCTATCATCATGGGACACCTAGAAAATTTTAGCATAATCCCAAGCTGCCTTTGAGTCACTGGACCAGCAGGAGTGAGAGGGTGTCCAGCAGTGGCTCTAGGCAGTGGCAGGCAAAAGTGAAGAGTAGAAGATGAAGGGGAGAGAAAGCAAGAAGACAAGCTGCCACTGCTGCTTTACCCCATTTACCTGCATTTCCCAAGAACTTCCATCTCTGTGAGTTTTCTGAGGTGCATTTGTCATTACAATAAACTTTATATTTAATCAGGATTATTCCATTTAACACAATTTAAGTAACTTCAGAAAAGACAAAGAACATATACTAGGTTCTACGTAAATTACTCTAACTTTTCTTCCCAACTTGTGGGAAATACATGTTATCAGGCCTATTTCAAGTTAGGCTGACCAAGCTGCTGGTCATCAGGTGACCTCATGAGAGATCTGCACTGGTATAGTTTGTAAAGGCCAGCCTCCACAGCTTTCCTTGGTAAAGGATCCAATTAAGAAAAAAAATAATTACTGTGAGAGTTAAAATGGGACCACACTGGACTGATGTGCATTCTGGCCAAAGCGCTGACACAGGCCACCAAGAACTGCTGTCTGCTAAGGTTCTAGGCCATGGCCACAACAGAAACTCTTACATCTGAACAAGCCTAACTTGCTGGATACCTCACTGAATCAGAAGAGAGAAATACCCATCCATGACTTTATTATTTTAATAACAGAGAAGGAAGAGCACTATTAGTCATCTGTAACTGGAGATTAAAAAAAAAAAACAAACACAAATTTAAATCCCACATTGGTTTTACATGTAATTTTTAAAATGGGGCTTGGAGTTGATGACCCACAGTCTACATCATGTCCGTGTCTTGATCTACGTGTAAGGTTTCTACTCACCATTAGTAAGTATGGACTTGACCACACTCTAGGGTCAGCTGAGTCAGTGGTATTACAAAAAGCCACACTATAAGCTGGTGGCAGGATGGCCGTCAGGCCTGCTCTGCTTCATTCCAGGACACTTTCTGATAAAGCGAGAGGCAAAGCAGAGAAGGGACTATCGAGATGAAGCCACTTAGACAGCTTCTGCTGCTATCTGTCCTCCCCCATCCCTCGAAAACCCCCTTTCTCCAGAAAATAGCTGACACATAATTCCAGACCTGTGGCCAACAAGGGAGAGTAAAGGAAAGAACAGCATCAGGAGCTACCATTTCTGTAGGACCTATTATGTGGCAAGCAAGGTAGTAACGGCTTATATATGTGATCTTTACAATAATCTCAAAACATAGGCATCATCATCCTCAATGTATAAATGAGGAAAATACTGTTGTTACTAGAATATAAACCAAAGGTTTAGGAACATCATTGACTTTTCCAAGCCAGAAAGGCCAGCTTTGCCCACAAATCCTTTCCCAATCCCAGCATCTGATGCCACCAGCTTTGTTGCTTTGGACTATGAGCCTCCACTGTATTTCTAAAACCACCTTCATCTTTCCATTGGGCCTTATAAAGGTCAAAGATTGTATAAAACACTCACCCCCCTCCTTTACTCTCTTTTCCTCTTTTTGCTGAAATTAAAAGAAACCACAGGTGAAACAGCTGTGGAAAAGAATCAGCTGTGGTATCACTTAAGAAGAAGTTGACTTCTTAACCTACAACAGTTAACCCCAGACTCTAATATTCTTATTTTTAAGAGACACAACCTGTAAGCCTCAGATTTGAAGTGAAATTATGCCATCATTCACACTGAAATGATTCAGTAAAAAACAAAAACAAACAAAACCCACAAACAAGTAAAGCAAATTTGGCAAAATATTTACTGTTAACTATAGGCAGCAGAAGTATATCTCAGTGTTCACTGTACTATTCTTTGATCTTTTCTGTAAGTTTAACATTTTCCTAATTCAAGAAAGTGGCTTTAATTGCTTCTCTAACTTCCTAGTTGCTAAATACACAAGCAAAGCCTAAAACAGCCATCTTCATTACATAGAGCATCATTTTTTAAGAACTTATTTTCCGTATTTAGGATGTTTTTCTAATTTTTAAAATTTTTATTTTTTAGCAAAGCGAAGGTTTTCACTAAACCAAATTCAAATCTGCAATAGCAACTTTCTCGGGATGTAAATATGTTGTTTCCACTGATGAAGAGAGATGTCGACTTACACTTAGATAACAAAAGATTTTAACCCTATACTGTTACTTACTCAGGGTGGAAGAACCTGTTCGCTTTAATTTTTTTGTTGGAACAGAGGGAAGATGGAATTTAAAGCTTAAAGCATTGTGTGTTAATAGATAAAGGTTTTAATTCCCCAAGGCTAGGAACGAGACCCTCAGCTTCCAGCTCTAGTCACTGGGATGCTTTCCATGTGACAGGCACTCAAGAAATGCCTGTTGGTGACAATAGCAAGAAGTCAGAAGGAAATTAATTCTGAAATTGTTCTTCCTCTGGCTGCGCAACCTCAGAGCTGGCAGTTTTAACTTCAACTAGAACAGGCATGTGAAAAAGCTGCAGAAACAGACTTCAAAAACACAGATACTTACTTCCCAGAGTTGACTCCTTTCATGTGATCTGTGTAAATATAGATATCAGGTATGAATTTGTTGAGGATGCTCCTTGCAGAATCCACAATCCGGTTCGCCATCTGAGGTGACACACGTACAGAGTACCTGCAGCCTGGAGTTAAGGATGTCATTCTGCTTGAACTCCAGAACAGAAAAAATCACTTACAAAGCTGGCAAGTATTCGTGGAACTGTAGTAACAAACTAGGACTTCCAAATCTATTGTTTTCCAACTGTATTTACTGAATTAGTACCGTAATTAATTTTTTTCATTATTATAAAAGGTCATGGCGAAAACATCTAAACAATAAAGAGAGTGGAAAGTATAAAGCTGGAGGTCCTCAACCCCACCCCTCACTTCCGACAGACATGCTTCCCCTAGAAATGGTTCAAGTCAATTTTGGAAGGCATAAAGACACCTGCCTCTCTGCGGGTCATGATCCAGGCTCCCTTTGAAGTACAACACCTAAGAACACTTTCTATTCTCTGTCCATTCCCACTGCTGTAGCCAATGAGTCTCTACACCACACAGGACCTGGGCGATCCCAATCCGCCTCCTGGTATGCTGACGGGAGAAGCAGAAAAAGTTCAGTGAAAGAACATGGTTGCTGCTATGTATAAATATATAAAAAGGTTTTTCTAACTTACAGGGCCTATTTTCTACTATTTAAGAATTAATTACTCCACTTGTGGATAACACAGCCTCCTCACACCTGCTACCTTATAGTTAAAATGTTAATAATTAGCACTCCTACAACAGGGCACCCCAGAAAAGAAAGGAGGAAGATATCAGTAACTCAAGTGAAAAGACTAGTGCTTGAGGAAATGGAAATTATTGCCTAAAACTAGACTTATAACAGAAGCTGGCTTTCCCCAACCACACATGTCAAAGAAAAAATAAGTGTGTATTGAACACTTCAATGTGCAATATGGTCAAGAGATGTCTATATATTTGGAACTAAAAAAATGGAGAAATAACATGTGACCTTCCCACTATCCTGATACAAACCCCACGTGACAAGTTCAACAGGTAAAACGAGGTATGTGATCTGCCCATTCCAGCCCAGTGAGTGTTCAAGAACTGCTGTCAATAACATATTTAATTTTCATTTGAACTGCAGAAACAAAGTGCTCAGAGATGATACATGACCTGATCTGGCATCTAGCTCCCTTTTTGACCCATCCTGAACAACATACTAAAAGACCAATCTTCGTCATGCTGGTGACAGTCTCTCGGTGGCTCCTGATCCTCCCATATCTTGTTGTTAGAACCCCCAGCCTGCTCAGTGTGTCCATCTTCAGCTCTGCACCATCAACCCATCCATATTGCCCAAATTCCTCAACCTGAGCTGCTCTGCCCCATTCTCCCAGCCCTGAGGTCCCAAACTCTCTCCTGAAACCCTCCAGCCAGCACCCAAGTGTTGGCTCCACTTGAACTTACCATATATCTCTCTTCACATACACACATTTTGTTCTTGATCTTCAACAAGACCACACACTCTATAAGGGCAAGGGCTTTACTTCTGTAATCCCTCCCAACTCTCTAATACACTACTTTTGTACTCAGAAATGCTCAATAAATATTTAACTTGACTCAAAGGACAAACCTGAAATGAGGAAAGAGCAAAGAGGGATTTTTCAATACACACACAGCCCAGTTACATCACCATCTCTTCAGTCCAGAATGTACTTTTGACCACAGACGGCTTAGACAAACAGTCCTAGGTCTCATACCCTTTGGACCAAGTGGGTGCTGTCCTTCCGAAGTCTGAGGCTGCCTACTCTCCCCAGGAAAGCACAAGAGATGTCACCATCCTAACACATAATCCCACAGAGCTCATGGCTCCCAAAGTTCTTTCACATATATTATCACCTTACTTTATGCTCACAGTAACCCTGTGTTGAGAGCCATGGTTCTGAGTTCTAGGACTTAACATTAAAGACAACTAAGACAAAAAACTAAGACACTTGCTCAAAATTAAACAGATCTGACTCCCAAAAAGCATCTTCCTCCTCTCATCCATCCCAATATGGAAACACGAAGGGTACCGCACAGTACAAATTCAGGGCCAACAGAACCCTGTATTAGAACTCAGGCAGTGAAATGAAGAAGGCAAAGGAACTTTAAAGCCAGATACATCGAGTTGCTTAGAACCATTGGCTTGGTATGCATGTCCTACTAAAGAATGGCTAAGAGCCCCCAAGTTCTAGAATGAGATTATCTCTGTTCAAGTCCCAGCTCCAGCAACCTGCATCATTCCAGGTTAATTGTGCTAACTTCTCTGACGTCATTTCCTAATCAGTAAAAGAAAGATAATCATAACACATTCCTTACAGAGTTTGGAGGCGCAAATGAAATAAAATGCATGTAAAGCTCTTAATGCCTAGTGTGTAGCAGGAGCCCAGCAAATGTCAGCTATTGCTTTTCTTATTACTCATCCAAGATTCAAATCCCAAGCAGAGGTTATTCTTTCAGGAATCAGAGAACTCTCTGGGAATCTGATGAAAGCTATGGACCCTCTCCTGAGAAACATATATACTTACAATTTTGCAGAAAAATTTTCAGGTTTATGAACCTCCTAAAGCCCATTTATGAAAACCATATTAAGAACCAATACCAATGTACAAGTCCATAGCTACAGTCCATATAGGACTCCCACTCTTCCCCTTCCCCAATGTTCCATGTCAGAGAAAGCTAAGAGGGATATGTGTATGTGTTACAGTAGGTGGAGATAAAGAAAGACAGCTTGATTCTCAAAGTACCTTCCCTACAGTCAAGGAAAAGAAACTAGATTATCCCACAAATTCCAACTTAACCCCCTTTACTGCCAGCTTTTTCACTTAATTCTCATGTACCAAATCATGAGCTCCTAGGATAGCACTGCAAAACTGAAACAGAATGCTCCTTTCTCTTACGCCCCACATAAGGCAAGGGTGAGAAACAGAGTGGGTGGCATTAAATAAAAGGTAACTACTGTCTAGTCACAGCTGCTGGCAGGAACCAACACCGGCTCCCTCTGGGCCCTGGCTGGTAGGTCATCTTGTAGAATGCAAGAGGGAAAAGATACACTTTGGAAGTAATTCAGTTAAGACCACAAATGCACACAAGAGAGTGAGCCTCATTCTCCCAATCTGAGCCCTCCTATGGGAAATACAACCTCCAAGCTTAGTCCAGTAGTCAATAAGCCTTGCAAGGAAAAAAACCACAAAACCAACTCAAGCTTTTTCCAAAGGCAGCTCTTTTTTTCCCAGGCTCCAAAACTGGAGAAGAGGGTGATCTCCATTCAAATCAACATTCCTTTGAGGTGTTTGTGAAATGGGCAGCTCTGCAGAGCAGTGGCTGAAACATTTGGTTTACAGACAGGGATCTGAGCAAGGGCACCGTGTCAACTCTCCTGGGGAGCTGGGAGGAAACCTCTACCAATCAGAGATATACTGGGAATGATTTCTGTGTCCTATCCCCTGCCTCCAGGGAGGGAAAGAACTTGGGACCTCACAATTATCTTCCTGGCTCAGGTTCTACACAGGGAAGGTTCCAAGAACATTAGAGGGAGAAGTCAGGGAGGAACAAAGTTACACCCAAGGTGCCCGGCACCGCAGCTCTTTTAACTTTTATATTCTCCCCTGGAAAACCCTTCCCCATTTCCCAGCACCATCATCAAAGGACACGAGCCATCTGTACACCCAGAGAGAACAAGGGGGACCCCACTGTGATGAAACCCATGTTGTTATGACAAGATTGTGTCAAAACAGAGCACACTGCCAGAAATCACATTTCCAGACTACAGAGACTGGATTCCAAACAAAGTTCACTGCCGCCAATACAGCATTAAGGAAACACATCTCAAATAAGGAGGAAAAAAAACAACCACCCCCTAGACAAACCCAAAATAGTACTGAAAGTGTATTCCTGTACACTTATTGGAATGTATTGGAAGGTGTATTCCTGTACACTTATTGCACTTTTTTTCACCATTGCCAAAAATGTTGCGGTTAAAGCCATTAACCGCAGTGTATTTGGCAATGGTGAAAAGCAAAAAACAACTCAATGGCCATCAACAGGGTTTGATTTTGGGTGACAAGGATGGTAAAGATGTGCCTTCACAGTGGGGCATCAATGGTGGAATACAATGCATCTGTTAATAAGAATGAATTCAAGTAGAAAAGGCACATTGACTTTAAAAACACACCCTAGTTACACTGCATTTCCATTTCTTTCTAACCTCATTAACCTTATTCCAGCTCCTCTGATTTGGATATTAGAGTTGAACATCACCTTAGAAAGTTGCCTGGGCAATTTAACTATACATCAACCTCGGGGCTCCTAGGAAAGGAACATTTCTCCTTTTGCCCATTCTCTCCTGGTACACACAAGGCTTGACACTTACATGGGCTAGGGGACAACCATGCAAAGAACAGACCATAATCCAGGAAGGCTTTGTTATTATGTATTCCTGTGCTTTTGATAATCCTTAAAAAGAATGTCAGGCAGGACCCCAGGTTTGAGCTTCTATCTTAACTAGCACTCTCTGCCCATGACTCTGCAGCCCACCCCACTCCCTGCCCTTCACCACTTACTGTTCAAGCTATTTGAGGCCTCTGACAACAAAGTCCACACTACACCTCTCTTCCTCCAAGTAAGACCATCCCCAAACATCCTGAGAAATACAAAACCTGACCTTAAGGATCCACTCCAGCCCTGAGAAGCCGGCCTTCTGGTCTACCCCTCCTTGTCACACCCCCGCCAGGAAAGTCATCCCACAGCCCATCTTGCTCTATGGCCTCCAACACCTGTCCCCACCCAGATCCTGTCAGCACCTAGAATTTTACTTTCAATATCTGAAATCCCAAAACAAAACTCCCTAAACACAATCTCTTGTCCTACACAGTACATGTATCTATTTCCACTAGACCTGATCTTTAAACCTGTTAAAAGTTTCTTGTCCCTTGACCTGCTTTCTCCAGGCTGGTGAGCCCCTGTGACGATCCTCAGTGAGGAATGTACTTCCCGATGCTCCAGCACCCACCCTCCAACTGTCCTCCTGTAGGACCCACCCACCTTGCCAACCTGCATCCATCCTTGGATGAAATGGGTCCTCCCACGTTCTCTACTCCTCCCTCTAGGCTGCCAATTGCCACTGGACATAGCCACATGGCCATGCAACTGGCACTATGTTAACATTTCACCTTCGGCCAGGACCTTCGTGCTGTTCTACAGCCTTTTTCTTATCTTCAGTTATGATGCCCCACTGTGAAGGCACATCTTTACCATCCTTGTCACACTTTCTTATCCTACCCTGCCCATCCCCTTACCCTCAATCCCATCCTAACTCAGTAACAACTGAAAAACTCACCCCAACCCCCTTCCACTCACCTCCACACAGCTCTACCTGGAGCCACTCTTACCGTATGCCTGTGGCCTTGAATCCATCCCCTCTCAAGTAAGAATAAAAAGAAGAGTAGCAACCATTTACCCAAAGCTACTTACACACCAGTGCCTGCTACTGTGCAACTATAATCTCACTTTACCTTCATGAGAGTCCCACACAGCAGTTATAACAGGACCAAGATATATAGGCAACCAAGGCTTAGGGCCAAAATGCTTCCATTGGTGAGTAGCACAGTCAGCATCAGCACCCACGTCTTTCTGACTCCAGCACCCGGGCTTTTAATCAGCTCATTACTTTGCTTCATTGGCATTAACAACCTACAAAAACACTCAAATCCTTACCAATCTTTTTGTAAAAGGGAGGGAGTCTCCCCCACTCTCGCTTCATCAAGTTACCACCTCATCCTTCCTTCTCCTTCTCTTTCCTGTCAAGATTCTGTAAACAGTGGTCCCCACAAGCCACCGTTTCCATCCCCTTCACTCCACAACCCAGAATTAGTCCCCTCAGGATCGAGATCCAGCACTCTTCCCCAGGGTATCAGTGGCAGCCTGCTGCTGAGTCCCTCAGCTTTTCCCCCACCCCAATGCTAACTCGTAAGGGCCTTTTAAGGTGCTGACCTGAGCTTCCAGGAAGCTATGTTTTGTGTATCCTCTTCCCCACTCTTACTTCCCTCCTTACTTAACTCTTGCTTTCAAGGTTTGGTGGCCTCACAGGGTTCCACCATCCTTTCTTTGCATTCTGCACAGTATCTGATTCCAGCCACCTTCAGCTCTTCACTGGCTCCTGCCTGTCTTCATGCCCCATCCTACCATCAAATGCCATAGACCAACCTGAAATCCGGTCACACTTCATTACTTGCCATTCGCTAGAACCACTGTGCGCTGCCACCTCTGCTCAGGCCCATTTTTCTACCTGAAGCACTCCTCCTTTCTCACTCTACTTTGCAATCCTCTGTTCTTCAAGGCTCCTTTCTATGGGAAAAAGTAAAAATTAAATGCCTGTACTTCAGAGTCACACAGACAAGGTTCAAATCCTAGCTCTGCAGTGTGATGTTATTAACAAATTCCTTAAGCTTTTGAAGTCTCAGTTTCCCCATCTGCAAAAAAAGGATGTAAGTGAACTCAAGAGTCAATCTGAGGCTTAAAAGCATGCAAAGGGACTACCGCAGAGTAAGTACTTAATAGTAGGTATTGTTCATTATGATTACTCCCGCCTCCCTAGGTCCTCCAGACAAAATTGACCACTGTCTACTCCAGGCCCCCACCCCACTGCACACATCATTTTGCATGTTATATCAGAACAGTGTGTTTTCATATTTGGCTCCTTCACCGAATGATGACCTCTTCTGAGGGAGAAACTGCAGTATATTCATGGTCCCCAAACCAAAGCACTTGAGAGAGGATCACATACATCAGAGCCTAAATGTTAACTGGAAAATTAAAAAAAAAAAAAAAGAATGACTCAATCAATCTAGTCATGGTGAGGCAGATAACAGAACATCCTAACTCAGCCAGCAATTATGATTTCACTGTTAAGACTTTTCAAAGTTGTAGTTTAAAATGTAAATAACGTCGGGAAGAAGTAAAGCTGTTAGTCATTCTTATCTTAGTGAGGCAAGGAAAAAAAAAAAGAAATCCAAATAAATGGAAAGGATACGCCATTCCTCTAATACGTTTGATTTTTCCTGGATCTGTGAGTTGAATGGGCTTCAAGACCTTCCTTACAGGACATGAGAAAACCACTTCGCCTCCTCCTCCAGGAGGCATTCCCCGTCGCACAATCTACACAGAGAGTGAGAAAGATGAGGCGAGGATGCAGCAAAGCAATGGATTACCCTGACACCCTGCCCAGGAAGGTTTACACCAGCAGATGCTTCCTTACAAGGCATAGCTCTTCCATATTCAATCTGTCATTCCCTTCAAGACCAACAGCACCTTATGTTGGCTCCTAGAGAGTACACGCTCAGCGTGTGTCAAAGTCCAAGTCCATTACCCAAGTGGCTGTGCCACTCACCTCTTTAACCCTGAACAGGTCACTTCTTTATCCTTAAAATATGGAGCTGACCTAGTCCATCATCTGAGCCCATTTCTTAATAATCAGAAACCCCTTTTTCTCCTCCCATGCAAATAACTGATCTACCAAAACATTATTAAATAAAAATGAAGTCATTTCCCCCGTTTAAAACATGAATGTAAAAGGCAGAGATGCTAAATGGTTTACCTCATTGGACTGATATAATTCAACAATATACAGATGCTTAAACTACTTCTACTAGATTTTGGAAATACTGAAAATTCTCAGGGACATCCAGGCTGGGAGCCCCTGAACATAAATTATATCCAGATCATTTAGATCAGAAAGCCAATATGGCCCAAATCTATTCTCCACTGCTTGCTAGCTGAGGGACATGGGCGGAGCTGTTGCGAGGAGAAAAGGAGTTAGTCTTTGTAAACTGCTTAGAACAGCCCCTACCGCAAAGTAAGTGCAACAGAACTGTCAGCTACGATTGTTATTACTAAAGGGTCCCTTGCAGTTCTAAGTCTGTAGCGTTTACTTCATGAGCCCTGTGAGTCTTCTGATAACTGGTAACCTCAAATGTGACACACATACACTGAGTCACACAGCTCTTCCAATGAGTCAGTGGGAAAATGTTCTCCACAGGAACATACGGTCAACAGTTCAAACATTCTTACCTTCAGTTCAAATGATTCACCATCAATCCCAAATTGTTTCAACAAAGGGAGTGCTGTCGCCTTAAGAACATCAACCTATGAAATTATTTCAGAAAAGAAAAGTTTAATTAAACCTTTGGCAGAATAGAAGAGTCAAAAAAACAAGTGAGGCTTAGCAACCAGGTAGATGATGCAGTGTGGTAAACAGAAAGGATGCTGGCATACAACTGAGAGAGTGGGCTGGCTCTGCCTAAGCAACACTGATTTCACAGGCCACTGGGCTTCTCTGGGCTGCACTTTCCTCATTTATGACATGGAGACCTACCTTACAGTCATCATGAGCGTCAGAGGCATAATACAAAATGCATGGAGAGACTGGACTGTTGTAGAAAACAAATGGATGGAGACCCCTACTCATTTTTTTTTTTTTTTTTGAGATGGAGTCTTGCTCTGTCGCCAGGTTGGAATGCAGCAATGTGATCTCGGCTCACTGCAACTTCTGCCTCCCAGGTTCAAGCAATTCTCCTGCTCAGCCTCCCGAGTAGCTGGGACTACAGGTGCACGCCACCACACCCAGCTAATTTTTGTATTTTTAGTAGAGATGGGGTTTCACCATGTTGGCCAGGATGGTCTCGATCTCTTGACCTTGTGATCTGCCCACCTCAACCTCCCAAAGTGCTGGGATTACAGGTGTGAGCCACCACGCCCAGCCTGGAGAACCCTACTCATTCTTATAGATATAAACGCTACAGAAGAAAATAATATTTTCATTAACATTTGTCCAGTATGGTTATTTAATGTTTAGAGCTGGTAGCATTCCGAGTCAAAGCAAACCAAATGAACTATTCAGCAGCTCACCTAAGAATGCCAATGATGAGCACCACACAAGCAGCTAAAGGGAAGGTGATGGTTTTACATGGGAGTTGGGGAGTGAGGGTGATGATAGCCTCAAACTACAGGAAGCAGCACAAACTCAAAACTACAATTACAACATCCACAGTTAATGGCAAAACTTTGCCACGTGTTACTGTTATCTCCTCCTGCATTCAGAGCTCCTAGGAAGTCTGGGGTCTTTCTGATCCATTTGTGGATTCCTGATAAGGGTATAAAGATGACATTCAAATCATGTACTGTTATCTAACGAGTTGGCAAATGCTGCCTCAACTGCTACATGGGAAAGAAAATTACTCCATTACTTGTTCCCTTCTTGGACCTGTCAGCTGGACCTGTGAGGGTGGGCACCACATAGAAGGCATAGGAAAAGCCCTAGTCCTGGTTCCAGCTCTGCTTCTAATTAGCTATGTTGCCTCAGACAAGAAAATCACAACTATCTGAATTTCCTTATCTCTAAGGCAAGGGGCTCAAGCCCAGCTACCTCCAAGTTGCAACCAACTCTAATAGGCTAAGAAGCCGGAACTAAATATTGTGATATCAGAAAATTACCAGATGTAGGAATGACCTGTGAGGCCTAAGAACATGCTTAGAATGGATCAGGTGGGGCAAGGGAAACTAGGAAAACCATTAAAGATTAGCTAATTTTAAATATTAAAGCTACAGCCTGAGCAACATAGTAAGACCTCATCTCTACTAAAAAAATTAGCTGGGCATGGTGCACACCTGTGGCCCTAGCTACTTGAGAGGCTGGTGGGAGGATCACTTGAGCCCAGGACTTTAAGACTTCAGTGAGCTATGATCATGCCACTGCACTCCAGCCTGGGAGACATAGTGAGACCCTGTCTCTAAAAATAAAAAAATAAAGCTAAGCACACTCAAAAACTTAATATATGCATTTAGCATTGCCAGATAAAGAAGAATACAGCTGAGGCTTAAGGGCAGCTGGGGAGAAGGCCAAGTCAGATTCTGAAAAAGCAGGAGATGCTTTTACTGCAGTTACTCTGGCCAGCCACCGGCTCTCCTGAGGGGAAAAAAAGGTGAAAAAACACAGCCTTTCTTCTGGCTCATCCTTCCTATACCTTGAGTCACAAAAGGTGAAGCCAAATTTACTTAGTTCAGCCAGAAGCCCAAGGGTAACTCCAGGTATAGTCCTGTCCCCTTATCACTCTCCATCTGACATGGAGGACAAGCAACTTGGTGCAGTGGGACAAGAGCAGGAAAAGCAGATAAGGGCTTGGGACCTACTCTGCCTCTCACTGGCTGTGAGACCCTAGACACTTCCCTGTCTCCTGGGCCTCAGTTTCCTCCTGTGTAAAATGAGAGGCGGGGCTGAACACTCTACAGTCTCCTGCAGCTTTGCACATTCTAGTTTTAGCAGAGTGATGGTGGCCTGCAAGTTCTGCTTAAGGGAAACTGATTGGTCCACTCTGAGGTCAGAGAGAAAAGGCAAAGATCTCACCTAAGTGGCAGCTCAGGGCAAAGGCATTAATATTACAGTGCAGTCAATCAATCAAAAGGTAAACATGTAATCAATCTATGCTTAAAAAAAGGGGGGAGGGCGGGGGAGAAAACTGCTCTCCAGTTACCTTGTCTGAAACACCCGCCTCACTGGGTTGGTAGAAGAATTAAATATGGATATACACATACATACATATGTACACCTAGAATAATGCCCAGTACACGGTAGACATTATTGTACTTCTTTTTCTTCTCTAAGAGGGAAGTGGAAAAGAATGGAATCTTCACCCACCATTGGAGCAGCTTGTTGGCACCAATAAATAATTACTGGGAGCTCTGGTGCCACACCACTAAGAGTCAGGAGACCTCCTAAAACTTTTCTTCTCTTTAAAATTTCTCCCCACTTTCTATTCTCTTGCCACTAAGGAAAAAATGTCTTCTTCCTTTTCATAAGGCTCATTCCATCACCTCTGTTTTCAATCCTTATCCCCTCTGGACTTCGGCAAGGACTCTCCGCTCTTTGAATTCTTTTCTTTTCCATCACAGCTTCTCCTCAGCCTACAAGCAAGTTCAAACTTCCCCTAGCCTAAAAAAAATTCCCAACCTCAGCTCTTAAGAACTTCTGGGGCCGGGCGCGGTGTCTCAAGCCTGTAATCCCAGCACTTTGGGAGGCCGAGGTGGGCGGATCACGAGGTCAGGAGTTCGAGACCATCCTGGCTAACACGGTGAAACCCCGTCTCTACTAAAAAATACAAAAAACTAGCCGGGCGAGGTGGTTGGCGCCTGTAGTCCCAGCTACTCGGGAGGCTGAGGCAGGAGAATGGCGTAAAAACCCGGGAGGCGGAGCTTGCAATGAGCTGAGATCTCGCCACTGCACTCCAGCCTGGGCGACACAGCGAGACTCCATCTCAAAAAAAAAAAAAAGAACTTCTGGAAGAATCTCCTAACTTTCCAATAGCTCTAGTTCCTACTCGTTCCTCAGTCTGTTCCTGTCCTTATACTCCAATGATATTGTTCTCTCAAAGGTCAATAAAAATGTCTCACTGCTGAATCTGACTCAACTCCAGCAAAGAGTGATTCTGTGGATTATCCCTGACTTCTTGGAACTTGATTCCTGCTTGGCTTCTCCAAATACTTCTATCTTCACAGTCACTCCATCTCTAGCTCCTCTTCTCCCACTCACACCTTAAACATTCATTTCTCCTTCTTCCATTCTCAGTCCCTTGGACCATGGGGCAGAAACTCTAATGCCCATAGAGGGCAGAGAGGAAGCTTAAATGAATGATGAGGTCGGCTGTGACCTGTGTCCAGCTGAAAGCTCACACTTTATCCAAAAAAGGCAGCTGCTACTCACCTCCAACTGATGGCTGTCGTGGAGGAACCACCATTCAGTATTGTCACACTGCCCTATTATAATGTAAAATCTGGAGTTTCAAACATGAACAATCAATTCAGATACATACACACACCACCAACAACCACCACCACCGCCGCCACCACTGCCACACTGTACATGTCAAAGGAAAAACACGTGAAAGATGAATTCAGCCAAACCCACCAGTGTTCAGCCTCAGCCTAATCAATCTCATATTCCTAGAGGCTTAAGTATCAGCAGGTAAGATTCTGATGACCTGTCTCTGAGGCTCCAGACAATAATTTCTAACTGCCAACTGGAAATCCTTATATGGTCAGGCTGCCAACATCCCAGGGAACAGGACCACAATAAAAAGCATCACCCATTATCCTACTGCAATTTTCCTCTTCCCTTTGTCAAATGGGAATGATCTTTATGATCATGATCCTTTATGGCAACCAGGACAGAAATTGTGAAGTCATCTATGGCCCCTTCCTCTCATTCCACCTCCAATTAGTTGTCCTATCTGCTCCTTCCTTTCTCCTTCCATCTCCATAATGCCCAAGCTAGTCTATCACCTCTCCATTCATCTTTCACTCAACCTCCAGAATTACCTTCCTAAAACCCAGGCTGACTCTGATTTTCCCTCCTCAAGAAACCCTTTCTGACACTAAGCACTTTGCTTCTACCTCTATCAGAGCCCAAGGGTATTCATCCTTGTAATCTCCCTAAATGAGTTCCCAGCTGTCCACCCCAAGAGACTAGGAGTTTGTTAAGGACTGAATCACTCATTTCATCCTTGTATGCAGAGTAGATGCAGACATGAACTAATGAGGAAACCACACAGAAAAGAAGAAGCTAGAAATGAAGGAGCCATGGAATGAGCTGAAGAAGTCACTTTTTATTCAGGATTAGGTATATTTATTTTACTCTGGCCTGGAGTCAGATACCAACCAAGGTCATTTTAGTCATGCAGCTGGCAAAAGCAGATACTCCTACAGCATAAGAAAACAGATTTTTGGGTACCACTTCTGAGAAATTCATCAACTGATCTTTTGTCAATGTTAGCATATAAAATTTTTAAAATATTGCCAGTGAGAAAAGCTTTTAAGATAATTAGCAAGTGTAGAAAAAAAGTACAAAACGGATACACACACTGCTGTATACTTCAGGGCCTTTTCCCACTGTTTGAGGCACCTTCCCCTCTTCCAACCTAAAGGTATTTATACCTCTTCTCATTCTTTTATGCAAAGAACTCATTTCCTATAGTCTTCTAGAAAATGCAAAAAATAAAAATAAAAAAACACTTAATTAAATATTCTAAAGAGTTTACGCAACATTCCTTTACAGCTTAAGAATTCCAGATCTTGTACTATACTCAGTATCCCAGGAAAAAGAGTTTATGCAGCTAAATTTCCAAGAATTGAAGAATAAGTTTTTATTGCCTAAGAACATATTAACAACGTTTATACCCTAGTAGGTATCTTGGTGAATACCAGCAGTCTCTACTTTGGGGCTCACAGCATCACCTCATTGGTCCTCCCTGAGTAGAAAAGCTACATAATTCACATTCTGCCTCAGAAGCTACCCATTCATTGGTCTTGGCCTGTAATGGTAAAGACAAGCATACTACCTCTGTCTGGACTTTGCATCATGGCCATCAGTTTTAAGGTATCTTCTCTGACAGCAGAGCATCCAAAAGCAGGGAATCCACGCCTCCCTACAAGGGAGGAAGGCCTGGACAGGACTTCTCTAGACTTCTCTAATCTCTCTGTATCTCTCTGACATACACACACACACACACACACACACACACACACACACACACACACCATCCTAGAATGGCACGAAGACAGTTGTGATCATAATAAAAAGTTTTGCTTGATATTAAACCATTCTCTCCATATCTGCAGAAAAATTAGCATGTTTAATAAAAAGTTTGCTCTGGCATGGCTCTTGGTGAAAAAAATAAAATAAAAATGAAAAGCTTGCTGACACCCACAAACTACCAAATCTCACACATTCCTTTCCTGACTTTATGCCCTTTTTCTATCTGCAAACTCTTCTCAGAAAACAAAAGCCCTTGAGTTTATGATTGAAGCCTGGGTAAGTCAAGATTATGCTGTAGCAATGCCAAGGAACTATGATCTCCTGCCCAAAATTTGATAGGCTGCCCTCTAGCCTCAGCTACCACAGGACCTTACAAAAACTCCACTCTGACGTACTACAGCCAACAGAACTATAGTTCATGTCAACTATGACTGCAAGCAACTGTTTTGAAGGTTCTTAGATAACAACAAAAGGCGCCTGGGTAACTGTTAACAATAGTCCTGAATTTGATGACCCTAAGTTTTGGTTCATCTGCATCCTGGAGTGATTAACCTCTAAATCTCAAGGTAAATAACAAAAAGAATATACATTTGAAATAAAACTGCTTTATGAGGAACTTTTGTCTCACAAGTTGGGTTGTGACAAGAGACAAAACAAAAACCACACCACGGTTTGTTCTCAATACTCACTGAAGGGTCAACCTGATCATTGGTCACTCCTCGTAGAACTATTTTTAACGGGTGCTTCATAAATGGAGCCAAGCAAAGAAGACTCTCCAGGTAATAGCCAATGCCACGAAGGACGCTACAGTCATGTTCCACAGATCCACCATACAGGAGGCCAGGCTGATAATATAAGGTTGTTCCTTAAACCAGAAGAAAAAGAGCCACATTCAGCAGGAAAAAAACTAAAATGTCACAAAGGTAATGAAGGCAGTGAGTTCCAAGGGGAAAGTCTGACAAGGGCATCCAAGAGTGCCTGAAATGCCATCGCTAAGAGCCCACACTTCACTCCAAAAGCTGACTCACTACTGTCAAGCCCCTGTAACAATAATAAACTGTGAATGTAATTTAATAATCAGTAATAAATTAAGCCCCTCCCTAAGCCATCTGAGTTGCCAAAGTCATGGCAGGGCATAGAATAGAGATCCTAATAAGCACCCTAGTCTCCCAACAGCACACTAGGCTGACCACAGAGGGGAATTACAAATGATGTGCTTAAATCATCACACCAGCAACCAGCACCCTCCAGGGCTGCTGAAATGAGATTTCTCATACACCTCATTCACCAAACATGATGCCAAGAAAAGGCAAGTACTTTATGGCATTCAATGCCATTAATAGTAGCTCATTTAATTTAATATTGATACATGGAAATGCCTAATATGTTATGACTTTAGTGGAAACTACTATCTTTATTCACTTTTCACAAAATCATATCATTCAAAAAGCTTTGTTTTGAGACAGGGTCTTGCCCTATCCCCTAAGCTGGAGTACAGTGGCATGATCACAGCTTGCTGCAGCTCGACTTCCAGAGCCCAAGCAATCCTCCCACCTCAGCCTCCAGAGTAGCTGGGACCATGCCCAGCTAATTCTTTTTTCTTTTTCTTTTCTTTCTTTCTTTTTTTTTTTTTTTTAAGAGAAAGGGTCTCACTACGTTGCCCAGGATGGTCTTGAACTCTTGGGCTCAAGTGATCCTCCCACCTCAGCCTCCCAAAGTGCTGGGACCCTAGGCACATGCCACCACGCTCAGCTGATCTTTTTTTTTTTTTTTTTTTGAGAAAGGGTCTCACTATGTTGCCCAGGCTAGTCTTGAACTCCTAGGCTCAGCTTCCCAAAGTGCTGAGATTACACACATGAATCACCGTGCCTGGCTATCCAAAAAGCTTCTTACGCCCATCTCAGCTTCCCAAAGTGCTGGGATTACAGGCATCAACCACCATGCCTGGCTATCTAAAAAGCTTCCTACTAGATTTACATATCAATGTAAAAAATTGTAAATGATCTAGGAGGACATAAATGGTGGAACAGGGTATTTCTGCTGCACAAAATATTTTGCAATGCCCTCTGGCACAATTTACCAAAAATATATTTAACATTAGAGGAAGGAGGCATGTTCAGTCACTTAAATGGGAAAAAGTTCTTGGGACTTTCATAAAATAAATTTAGGCTTTACTATAATCCAAACAATCACAATCAGGACCATATTCTTATCAAAGTAATGAACACTTCTCAAATGGATTCTGGGTCCGTTATTTGAAATAGTTGTAAGGGTCACAAAACCATTCTTTAGATCAAAAAAACAAAAAAAAGACTATATATTCACTACATCCTTCAAATCTGTATGTTTATTTATACAAATTAACCAAATGAGAAACTTGCCAGATTATCAAAATGAAGGCTTTTACTACTCTGATGGGGAAAATTAAAAGGACATGTAGTGGGAGCAGAATCACATAAATGTCTTACTCCTCAATCTACATTGCAGATATGACTAGAAAAGAAGAGAATTGGGCCAGGCGCTGTGGCTCATGCCTGTAATCCCAGCACTTTGGAAGGCTGAGGTGGATGGATCACCTGACATCAGGGGTTTGAGACCAGCCTGACCAAAGCGGTGAAACCCTGTCTCTACTAAAAAATACAAAAAAAAAAAAAAAATTAGCCAGGCATGGTGGCAGGCACCTGTAATTCCAGCTACTAGGGAGGCTGAGGCAGGAGAATTGCTTGAACCTGGGAGGCAGAAGTTGCAGTGTGCCAAGATCGCACCACTGCACTCTAGCCTAGGTGACAGAGCAAGACTCTACCTCACACACACACAAAAAAAGAATAGAAATATCTGTCTTCCAGATCACCAAAAAAGTTACTGAAAAAACCTCCAGCAATTTCAAAGCAAACAAGCTAAAGGAAATTAAGGGACTCATAGCTGGCAAAAGACATGTGAGCACCTCATTCCCAAAACCTGTTCTCTATAAGATATGGCTGAATGCAGCTATAGATCAGAATATCTCACGTGGTCCAGGACCAAATATGAACCTGAGCTTGCCTTAAGAGAGCCAAGATAGGGAAAAGATCAGAGATTTGTGGAATGCGTGTGGAAAGGTACAGAGTTAATGGAGTCAGCCAAAGGATGTTTGCCACGGTTTTCCATACAGTGTAGACACAAGTTTCTAATAGAAAAACTAAAAGCTAGAAACAACCTAAATGTTTATCAGTGGGGAGTAGTTAAATAAATTATCATGCATCCATACAATGGAATACTATACAGAAATATTGAGGAAAACCTGCATGTGCTGGCAGGGCAAGTTCTCTGAGACATTTGTACTAGCAAAAAAAAAAAAAAAAAAAAAAAAATGCTGGCTGAAGAACAACATGAAGAGAATGATGCTGTTGATGGTCTGCATTATGCAAATGTCCATGTAAGCAAATGCTGTGACAGTGGCTACCCCTGGAGAGCGGAATGGAAGAGGAAAGAAGTGAAGGTATGTTCACATCTTTTGCATATACTCGCGTGAACTTATTTTAACAAACAAAATTTTAAAATAAATAGAATTCAGCCCATAAACTACCTCATAGAGTTGGTTGAAATAATTTAATGTGATAATATAATAAATGGACTTCAGAAAGTTTCACGTAAACATTATGTATAAAATATTTATTGCTAAAAAAAAAGAGGAGGGACTTGCTTATGGATCTGAAATTTTCTGTCTTCTAACTTCCTTAAATCAAATGTATGCCCTTCAAATTGGGAGACTTCATGTACATCTTTGGAAAATCATATCATAGAGAGGTAACTGGGTCTTTCCATAGGAACACGGTATTTTTTTTTAATGATCTAGAATGATATGCTTTTATTATGATCTACATTCACAGCTTCCTCATATAACTCCAAAGTTATACGGTGAGTTCCTCATATAAGTCCCCCCAAAATTCTAATTTAATGGTGATTTATATAATACAAAGTGATTAGTGAAGTTTTAAACATAATATTTATACCATTAAAAAGAGTGAGATGGATAAGCAGAGACTGACTGGAAAAAAAAAAAAAAAGAAAAGGAAAAAAAAGAGGGAGAAACAGGAATGCTTTAGTGCACGGAAGTGCTTTTAGGAATCTAAAAGGAGCTTACCTGTTTGGTTTATTTCAATTCGAGAACCATTTGTTATTTTATCCAACAGTCTTATGAAGCTGGCTTCGAAATCTGTGAAGAGAAAAAAAATCTGTGAAGAAAAGAGAAGACAGACTGGCCTCATGTCAGGTCAACATTTTCAGAGCACACGCCTGATTCAGGTACTATGGCAGATGGCAGGTTACTTCCTGCATCACACCTACGCTTTCCTAAAGGACTGGGTAGGTTCACGGGTTGAGGAACCTCAGGCAGTTGAAAAGCACTGACTGGTACATACATGTTTAGTAGAACTTAGAAACAATTCAGCTTTCGCACTGCGCGCGCACACACACACACACAAAATAGCAGCTCTACCAGCAATCTAATGGGATATTAATATCGGCAGCATAAAACCCTTGAGACCTATTCTTCTGAACTCAGGAGGGCATGTCAAATAACGGGGTAACGGTAGAAGGTAGGGAACAATTTTAAAGTCAGATTCTTCCCTGCTCCAGAATGCCTGGAAGGAAAGATTAAATTGAGGAGCACCCTTCAGTCTCAGAGACAGTAAGAGATCACTATCTCTGCCTTTCAGCAAAGTGTCCCTCTCTTTTCCCTTCCTCTACCATCTTACTGATTTATAACTATCTAACCAGTTCAGTTTTTTATTTTATTAAAAGGGTGTTTGAATGTATAGTATTACTGCCATCTTTTTTTTAGTGCATGAGAAAAGACTGGAAGAAAAAAGGTGAAATGTTAGTAAATGTTTTTATCTTAATGATTGGATTTTATATAAATTTAATTTTATATTAAAAGTTTATTTTTAAGAGACAGGGTTTGTTGCCCAAACTGGAGTGTAGTGGCATGATCACGGCTCACTGTAACCTGGAACTCCTGGCCTCAAAGGATCCTCCTGCCTCAGCCTCCCAAGTAGCTGGGACCACAGGTGTGCACCACCACTCCTGGCTAATTTCTTATATTTGTAGAGATGGGGTCTCATTATATTGACCGGGCTGGTCTTGAACTCCTGGCCTCAAACATTTCTCCCACCTCAGCCTCCCAAAGTGCTGAGATTACAGTCATGAGCCACCAAGCCTGGGCAAAAGCTCGTTATTCTTTAAAAGAGAAAGAGAGGGGGAGAGGAAAAAAGAAAGGGAAAGGAAGAGAATAGATATTAAATGTAAGATTATGGGAGGAGAAGTGAAGACTCCTCTAGCCTTCCTTCCCCTGAGCTAATCTTACACACAAACACACCCCTTAGTTTTAACTTCCTGCCCATGAACAAGGACAGAAAGACCAACTCTTCTGCCACTGAAGACACTGTGACTGCCTGACACTTTTAGACAATTCTCACTCCTGTAATAAACCAGCAGAGTTTATGGACACACAGTCCAGCAGTCACCTAAACTGATCCCAAAGGGTGAGTGGATCGACCAAGCAATTCCCATCCACCTAGTCTGTTACTTAACACTGTCCCATAACTCTTGTCATAATGGATTCTGCAATTTGTACAAAGGACATTGGGCTAGAAATCAGAGAAACTCCATTAAATCCTGAAACAAATAACAATGGTTAACAAAGCTGCTGTGTGTTGCATGCTTACTTTACACTAGATATTCTTTCATTTAATCCTCACATCCCTGAGGCACGGAGTGTCATTCCTATTTGCTATGGTTTGAATATTCCCTCCAAAATTCATGTTGAAACTGAACTATCATTATGACTATATTAAGAGATGGGACATTAAAGGGTGATTAAGCCGCAAGGGTTCTGGCCTCATGAATAGATGAATGCCATTATCACAGGAGTGGACTTATTATTATATCACGTGAGTGGGCTGTTATAAAAATGAGTCCCGCTAGGGGTGCAGTATCTATAGTCCTGGCCACTCAGGAGGCTGAGGTGGGAGGATTGCTTGTGACCAGGAGTTGAAAGCCAGCCTGGACAACATAGTGAGATGCCCATCTCTGGAGGGCGGGGGGAAATGAGTCTAGCTCTCTCAGTCACGCTCGCTGTCCCTCTCTTGCTCTTCCACTTTCTGCCATGGGAAGCTGTGGCAAGAAGGCCCTTGCCAGATACTAGCACCTTGATATTGGATTTCCTGGCTTCCAGACTGTGATAAATTTCTTTTCTTTTATAAAATACCCAGTCTGTGCCTGTGACATCGTTATAGCAACACAAAATGGATTAAGATGCCATTTTAATTTTACAGAAGGCTAGGATCCAAGAATGCCAACTAGATTGCCCTAGTCAAATGACACTGAGACCCAAGAATGCCAAACAGATTGCCCTGATCATGTGACCAGCAAGTGGCAAAACCAGGATTTGAGCCCAAGTCTGTCCTTCTCCAAAGTCCATGCTCTCTCTCTCTCTCTCTTTTTTTTTTTTAAAAGAAATAGGATCTCACTATGTTACCCAGGTTGGTTTCAAACTCCTGGCCTCAAGTGATCCTCCTACTTTGGCCTCACAAACGCTGGGATTACAGGCGTATGCCACTGCACAGAACCTAAAGGTTCCACACTCAGCCACACCATGACACTAGTTTGCCTCTGTTCAGTTTAATTCCTTGGAGCCAATCTCTTCCTCTAGAAAATCATGGCACCTTCAACTATAGGCACTGATCTCTTGAAGGACCTTATAGTTAATTTAATGGATCCCTAATCAACATTTTTTAAAAAATAAAAATACAACAGAATAAACTACATTGGAATAACTGTATATACTAAGGATGCTGTTTATGAAACTTTAGTCTGTTTTACACATATGTGTATGTGTAATAGGTTGTGATGTAAGTAGCATCACAGGAGTTTGAAAGTATCTGAATGATGAAATTCAATTAGAAATTATTTCTATGATCTTTTTAACATTCTTTACAAATCAGGCACAATCTCTACCACAATGCCACTTTCTACTTAGGTTTATAGAAAATCTAAGGTGCTCTGCAGAAAACAGGAAAGCCCTTGATTTGTTCAAACTTTCTAAGTGCCTAAATGGGATAGAGGAACAAGCATCTACAAATAAAGCCTAAGATTAAACCCCATAGATTTAACAAATTAGAAAAGAAAAAAGAAACCATGACTTTACTTTTTAGATTTTGTTTTTTGCAATCCACAGGGGCTCTTACACACAAACAAAACTAGAAATGCCCCCCAGAACCAAAGTAGAAAGAGAATGGGCATAAAGAGAACTCCAGGCAGGACCATCCCTGATCATGGCAAACATGTGCTGCAGAAGCAGCACTTCAGAGAAGTAGACTCAGAGCTAGTTCTGGAGCCCTGGCAACTGTGAAGATATGGCTCCATCACCTGGTACAAGAAAAGATCTCAAGTCCACCTAATAATGGTGAGATCGAAGTCCCCAAACTTCACTAGACCAACCTGTGTAGAATTCCTTGCCCATTCACCTCCCACAGACCCTGCTGACTCCTCTTCTTCAAGACTGCTCCTGGGGCTACAAGATTTCAGGTATCTAAAAGCGTTCAGGGAAAAGATCCAAAAACAAGCACAATTTTACTACACTGTTTATGAATACATAATTAGGTTATAAAACTATAAAGAGAATCAAAGTCAATGCTATAATGGTGAGGATAGTGGCTACCACAAAAGGCATGGCAAGGAGCTGTGAATGGCTAAAAGATGTAGAGATGTTGGCAAACTTATATTTCTTTTTGTGGTTGGGGGTCACACAGATGTTCATTTTACAATCTCTTATGCACTACTTTTATGTCTTATGCATTTTTTAATTTGTACAAATTTAGTGGGCACAAGTGCAGTTGTATTACACGGTTCTATTGAGTAGTGGTAAAGTTGGTAAAGTCTGTGTTTTGTTTTGTTTTGTTTTTTTGAGATGGAGTCTCGCTCTGTTGCCCAAGCTGGAGTGCAGTGGCGCGATCCTGGCTCACTGCAACCTCCGCCTCCTGGGTTCAAGTGATTATCCTGCCTCAGCCTCCCCAGTAGCTGGGACTACAGGCGTGTGACACCATGCCCAGCTAATTTTTGTATTTTTAGTAGAGATGGGGTTTCACCGTGTTGGCCAGGCTGGTCTCGATCTCCTGACCTCATGATCCACCCCACCTCGACCTCCCAAAGTGCTGGGAATACAGGCATGAGCAAAGTCTGTGTTTTTAATGTCCCATCACCAGATAGTGTACACTGACAGTGACCATTTCTGCGGAAAAAGAACAAGTGTACATATATGTATATATATTTGCTTATTTATGAAAAAGAAAAAGCCTGGGGAAAAAAACAACAACAACAACATACTAGTAACACTGTTTGCTTCAAAGATTCTCTAAACCAGCAGTCTCCAACCTTTTGGCACCAGGAACCAGTTTCGTAGATCAGATCAGTGATGGCATTGGATCCTCATAGGACTGTGAACCCTATTGTGAACTGCACATGCGAGGGATCGAGGCTGCTGGCTCCTTATGAAACTCTAACGCCTGATGATCTGAGGTGGAACAGTTCCATTCTTCAACCATTCCACCAATCCTGCCCTGTCTGGGGTTGAGGAACCCTGCTCTACAAACCTTTTTATTCCCTTTGAATTTTGTGCCATGTGCATACTTCTTAAAATACATAAAATTTAAATTAAAAAAAACAAAGGTACTGCAACATGATTTAAATAGCCAACAAAACTGTTTGCATTGAATGGCCTATGACAGATCTTTATAATACTATGTACCCCTAAGAAAGCTTTTTTTTTTTTTTTTTTTTCTTGAGACGGAATCTTGCTCTGTTGCCCAGGCTGGAGTACAGTGGCATGATCTCGGCTCACTGCAAGCTCTACCTCCCGGGTTCACACCATTCTCCTGCCTCAGCCTCCCGAGTAGCTGGGACTACAGATGCCGGCCAACACGCCCAGCTAATGTTTTGTATTTTTAGTAGACACGGGGTTTCACTGTGTTAGCCAGGATGGTCTTGATCTCCTGATCTCGTGATCCGCCCGCCTCGGCCTCCCCAAGTGCTGGGATCACAGGCATGAGCCACTATGCCTGGCCCGATTTCAATTTTTTTAGGGAATAACCAGAAGACAAGACAGTGAACTGTTAACGTGCAAAATTAGGAGTCATTACTTTCCTCATTAAATCCAAA